TCTAATTTTAGTCTATATTCCGTCAACGTCAGTTGTAATCTTTTTAAAATAAACTTTAATCAAAGACGCATGGCTTGGATTGAAAGTAACTCTCCACTTGAATGAAACATCACATGTAAATGCCTGAGAAAGCTTCCTTCCTCAATTCACAACTAAATAAGTGGTTGCTGTTCCTGCAGCTGACCCTAGATGTCAGCAGAGGAACAAAGAGTAGTTCAAACTGACAAAAACTGGCAAAGAAGCTCGATTTAAAATTTTTAAAGGGCCCACAGAACTGAAAACCCAATCTCCCTTCCTTTTGTGAAAATAAAAGAGTTTAATGTAGTATGTAAACATTGTTAAAGGTTTTAAATATACACCAATCAGGCATAACATTACGACCACCTCCTTGTTTCTGCGCTCATTGTCCATTTTATCAGCTCCACTTACTATATAGGTGCACTTTGTAGTTCTACAGTTACAGACTGTAGTCCATCTGTTTCTCTGATACTTTGTTAGCCCCCTTTTACCCTGTTCTTCAGTGGTCAGGACCCCCCATGGACCCTCACAGAGCAGGTACTATTTGGGTGGTGGATCATTCTCAGCACTGCAGTAACACTGACGTGGTGGTGGTGTGTTAGTGTGTGTTGTGCTGGTCTGAGTGGATCAGACACAGCAGCGCTGCTGGAGTTTTTAAACACCTCAGTGTCACTGCTGGACTGAGAATAGTCCACCAACCAAAAATATCCAGCCAACAGCGTCCTGTGACCACTGATGAAGGACTAGAGGATGACCAACACAAACTGTGCAGCAGTTGTCCTTTCTTTACTGCAAGTTCATTAATTAATTTCTGAGCTGCTGAGCGAACATGTTTGTAAAAGTGTTTATATTGGGTGAACTGCTGTTACTGTGTGGAATTGTGTAGAACTGAAGTGTAACCACTGTCCCATAGATTATTGTTGGGGTGGGAGAGTCAGAGCACACATTAAGTTGCAGTGCATGCTGGGGACTGTAGTGCAGCGCACTGTGAAATGCTCCAATATTCACTGAAAAATAAAAGAGCTGAAGAGGATTGTGTCGCAGGCCTGATCTGGCCTGTGGGCCTTGTGTTTGACATATGGGTCATAGAGTAACCACTTTTGGTTCCCTAAAAACCTCAACATATGGTAAACGTTCTATGGCAATTCAATGTTTTTTTCTAGAACCATACGTTCAAGCCAAGAACCAATTACACGTCTACATAAAGTAAAACTGGCAAAGAATCTTTACATTATTTAAATGTTCTATAAACCTTTAAAAGGTGCAGAATTCACAAATCTGTTTTTTGGTTCTTTAGCGAACCAAAAGTGGTTATTCTGTGGTGTTCAAAGAACCTTTGCCCTTTATGGCATCTTTTTAAATCGTGTCGTACAATTGTTTTTATTTGAAGTTTGTACACTTTAACGTATTCTCCCTGTCTCTATTGTCAATACCTACATTCTAAATAGCTGTGTAGTTCGAGGAGTGGGTGAACACGGCCCTGAAACCAAGAATGAAGTTCAACAATACATAGTCAAACTTGTCCCAATACTGATTATCACAAGCCCTCGTCCACTTGGCCTCATCATATCACTTTGGGGCCTCCCAGTGCCATCTTAATGACCGATCTCTTAAATAATTAACTCAAGTGAAGTTTATTAGATGAGTGCTGAAAAGGGTGAGGGATCAAGTGAACACTAGTGTTGGCTTTAGCAGCAGAACTTGCCCAGAAATCATTGCGACCTGATGCATTTTCCTATTCACACCCAAAAATAATGGCAGTCATAACTGTTTATAAGCCTTGGCAATAAAATAGTTTAAAAACTGCGTCTATTAATCATGACACTGCTACAGCTTCACTTTCCTCTGCTAGCTGGGTAGTCAGCATGCTAAAGGCTACATCCAAGCATAGCTGGTCACCAGCAAAACCAGCATATGTTGTGTTTTGGATGCTGGTATACCAGTCAGCAGCAATGGAAGTTATTATGCTGATCAAAAGCAAAAACAGCATGTCGATGCTGTCAGAACAAAACCTCATATCTCCAAAATGGTAACTTTACAGGAGAAGCAAAAAACATACTTTACTTTTAATGTAAGTCAATGGAACCAGAAGTTTTTCCAAGTCATTTTGGGTCATTTCTTTTGGTTCATTCATCATGAAATTTACACACAACGTAGAGACCAACAGGCATTTTCAAATTATGTCAAAAACTGAAAAATGACAAAAATGAAGAGTGAGCGCGTTTGGCTCAGAGTGAGTTCAGGTTTAATACTTAGCAGTGCAAGTCAGGCCTAGTCGGGTCAGAGCAGGCTGGGTCGCAAAATCAGAGGTACGAATCGGTTTTGGACTTCAATTTCATGCCTGTGCAGACCTCTAGGCAGTGTGCAGAATACACCCTGGTATTTGGGGGGGGTCCCATTTTGGATGGCTTCTCCAGCATTGTTGTGCTGCTAACTCACTTACCATAGCAGCGCTGATTGGTTAAACAGTTCTTCTTCTGGAAATGCTCTTTTCTAGCTTGGTAATGCGCTCTTCCACACATGACTTGAGATCTTACACGTTTCCTGTTTCGTCTGCAGTTTGAGAAATTAAAACCAATTCATTCTTTCCACCAAACTCTTGGGAAACTTGGCAGGTTTTCAGATTCACAAACATGCTGTGGCACACTGCAAAGTTTTTCAGAGGTATACCAGGCATAGTTACAGTTGCTAGGCTATGAAGGACCAACTGAGTGAACCAATTTGCAATATCGCCACCCTGAGGCAGACCAGTGCTGCATCACTAATTAGTTAGGAATATCAAAGACAGAAGCTCACTGTTTTGCAGGAGAAGCAGGCTAAACAATGAGCTTCACCTGAATTTGTATTTGAGTGTCTATTATTCCCTAAGAGGTTAATTAGAGACTCCTGGACCCCCAGGACCCCCTGTATTTCACACAATGCCTCTAGGCACAATACTGGAAAGCAGAACCAAGGTCAATTACATAAGTTATTCTTAAAGGCACTGTAACAAAAAAAACCTGTTTAAGTGTAATGGATAAACAGAGGTTAGGAAATGGTTACATAAAAAATAATTCTGACGGTTTTTGATACATAAATACACATAAATGTCCACAAAAGTGAACCTCAGGGAAAAAAATGAGTTGGGCACTTTAAATCTGAATTGCTATGTGGATTTATGCATCAGTATTGGTTAAAGGTGTGTACAAAATACATAGAATAATAATAACACTTTCTCCATGTCTTATATAACCTAAATCTGAAAGCAAGAGTATCACATGACCATCAGCGACAGTCAGTTTGTTGTACGGTAGAAGAGGCCACAGAACCATCGACCCCCATTGTGCACGTCCATAACAATGACACTACATTTTCCTGAAGTTCGGAGAGCGTGCTGTTATTCAGAAACATTCGACCTCAACATGTGTTCCCACAGGAGGTAGCATGAAAAGCAACTGTGGTTAGTGCTAACAAAGTTTCTCTAAATTAGCTTTTTCGTCCAAATGCAAAATAATGAGAATGAAGACTGAGTGTCTGAGAAGAACAGAGGAAAAGACTGAGAGGTAAATTCATGAGGAAAGGCAAAGACTTGAAGCTAAACCCAGTTGTAAGAATAAAAAACCTTTTTTTGGATTAAAGAACCACTTTTGGATTATTTAAAGAACGCTTCACTTGGGTGTTTTCAAAGAACATTAGTTAAAAGGTTCTTAAGGGAGCCAAAAGTGGCTGTTCTCCAAAGAACCCTTTCTGGCACCTTCTTTAAAATGAGTGCAATTCCTTTATCAAGGTAGCTCACATTGACCAGTGTTCCTGAACCTAGTGGGACATTGAGAGGAGACTGAGTTCGGGGAGAGAGGGTGGGGTGGGATGTGTGTGTATCTATATTGGGGGGGGTGTTTTCGATGAGTCAGAGCAATGAAGGCCGAGATGAACAATAACAGGACTTATGCTCTCTTTTGACCCATGCTGCTGAGCAGGCAATCCCGCTGCACATTCTGCAGTAACTACGGTGACAGCAGCTATATAAACCCCTCTTGGTGGGACGAAACCCGACATAGATCACGCCACATCTCTCCCAATTCGGCACGTAAGTATCGAGCTTCCTGCTTGCCAGCCCCCAAAACCAGCAGCCTCTCACTCAAGCTTCTGGATGGCCCCTGTGGAAAAGTATACAATATACAAACACATGGAGTTCCTAAGGGACAGAAAATAAGCCTGGATGATTACCAGTGCAGGGACGTGGAGGCCTTGCGAATCCTGTCATGGACTGATTGCCAATTTCTAATACAGGTCTTTGGAGAATCAATGTTTGCCCAATGTTGCACCTCTTTGACGCCAGAAATAAATGCAAGTTGATATAACCATCATGGGATACAAGAGGCCCCAGTCAGGCCAGATTACCGTTCACCTTTGGGTTTCTTTGACCAGTGTGGACCAGGATGAGTGTCAGCAAGACTTCTGTTTAGGCTCAAGGGGCTTGATTTCAGTCGATGATTCCTTACCATTAAAGGAATACTTCTGCACTTTTCATCCTAATCTCTGTCTGCTGCACTTGTAGCATACGGTCGATTACCATAGACAATCACTGACAAACTCATTGACTCAAAACATGCTTATGACAGATGCCAATGGGCAGTTTTGAAGCAACTGCCTGTTGGCTTCTGTGATAATTGACCATTGATAAGAATCACTCTGCCCTCCATAGTTTGGTGTTGCCCTCACACCGAAACCAACTAATTGGCTAAATAACAAGCCTTTAATGAGGCAGTGTAGAGCAGTCCAATGAGCATAATATAATGAATCAAAGACAAGAACTCTTCATACTAATGACCTTGGCTACACTTATGATTTTCACATTGTAACAACACACTGAAGGCCTATTTGATTCCTATTTAAAGTCAAGTCATAGTATTAATTAGCGGTAGTGCTGTCAGATGAATGTAGGTGGTCTCACAGCTTCTCTCATCTTCCTCACAGCTGGAGAGAGCAGACAGGCGGCCATGATGAACCAGCGAGAGCAGATGGAGCAGAGGGGTCAGTTCAGGATCACCGTGTGGGAGGAGGAGCACTTCCAGGGCAAACGCTGTGAGTTCATGCTGGAGTGCCCCAACATCCTGGAGAGGGGATTCCAGAAGATCCGCTCCATCAAAGTCGAGAACGGCCCGTAAGTGTGTCTCTTTGGAAGCTGGGATTATAATGGAGTTTTGAAAAATACTGCATTATTCAGTCATGAAGATGTAAACAAAGTTATTCAGATTGTTTTGATGTGAAATGGTGCATTGTAGAGAAGCTTAATACAGACTTCTTTACAGTGGTGGTCATAGGAACCAGGCGTCTACAACGGGAATATAGCCATTTTATTTACTATCCAAAATGACCTGTGAACGTATGTGTGTCTTCTGAGTTTTTATATGTAATGTTGAACGATTTTTATAGATAGATAGATAGATAGATAGATAGATAGATAGATAGATAGATACTTTATTGATCATGAAGGAAATTTAGCAGCCAGTAGCAGTCACACATCACAGTACAGTAATAATAATAAGCGTGAAACAATATAGAAGGAGAATAAATATGAAAAAATTCTATCTACAGGCACATATACAAATAGAAATGTACAAAAATCTGCAATAAGATCAATATATACAAAAATCTGTAATAAGATAATATAACCTGAGATGAAAAAGGCAGTGCAATATTGACTGTACAAGGAGGCGCAGGTAACGGCATATAATGACAATACTGAATAAATATGTGCATATACTGGTACCAAAATAAAGTGTCTAGGTGTGGAGTGTCCAGATGTGCAAGATGCATGACAGGGGGTACAGAAAGTACAAAAAGTTATAAACATTATATGTAATGGTGAATGATTACATACTTATAAATCTGAAAAAATAAGTTTTTCTTTGGAGACCATTGTACCTAAAAGTTTTTCTTTGGAGACCATTATGCCTTATGACATCCTAAAACAATGTGTCAGGCATGACGCAGCATATTCATAACCATTTCATGTAATAACTTCCTGTGAGGGAGCCTTTAGAAGCACTAAATGCTTCAGACGTCCGGTTCCTATCTCCACCACCGTGAACAGCTCTGATTCAGTAAGTTTCTCTAGAACAGAGCATTTCACATCAAACTGCTCTGAACTTGTTCATATCTTAAAAGTTTAATTATGCAGAAGCTTCTCTATCTATCTGCCACATGTGTCAGATGACTGGACAGTCATTTTAACGTCTCTCTCTAATTAGAAAAGAACAGAAAAGCCACTGATGTGGAAACTCACTCATAAAAGAAGTTATTGGACAGTCGCTGAGTTCTGTGATTAAATGTTTGAACAATGCAAATTTGAAACTAGTTGTAACAATCTAACAATACCAGTCTTAGGAAAAGGCAGACATGAGAGAATGACTTAGAAAAGCGGTTCTTATGAAATGTGATTAAACTTTTGAACACTGGAGGAACGGTACAGGTTTTTGTGGTATCTATGTACAACTGGGCAACTGGGCAGGAACCTATGAAAAATATGTGTTTTAGGTAAATGTTGACTCAAAAAAACAGCCTGATAGTTTCTATTATAAGTGTGTTTGTACAGGGAAAAGAATTGAAGTTATTGTCTGTGTAATTGTCAATATGCTACAGATGTGGCAGACGGGTTGAAAAATGCTGCCGTTTTTTCAGTGTTGATGCTTGTGAAACACTGGCATTGTCCCTCTTTGCCTCTCTCTAGCTGGGTGGGTTATGAGTATCCCGAGTACCAGGGCCAGCAGTTTATCCTGGAGAAGGGAGACTATCCCTGTTACCAGGCCTGGAGCGGCAACAGCGGCTACCGCGCTGAGCACCTGCTTTCCTTCAGACCAATCAAGTGCGCTGTAAGAGTCATTCTCACACTGCCCCGCTCAGTACACTACTATCCAGCTACAGTCCTGTGCAAAAGTCAGAGACCACCCTTCAATTATTTAATTTTGTGTTCAAAAAGTGATTCATTTTTCAGCTTTAGAAAAAAGCAGAGAAAACTGATTTAACAGAATTAAATAAAAGCTTCAGCAACTAAATATAATGTTTTTTTTGTATTTAGTGTTTCGGTATTTAGTGTTTTTTATAGCTTTTATTCCTTTGAGAAGATTTGCTCTCAGTTTTTCAAAGAAATCTGCAGGGATATTTTTCCACACCTCCAAAGTTCAGCTGTGCTGCCTCTCATGATACAAATAATCCCAAAATACACATCGAATAGCAAATTTTCTTCTCTTTTTGTTCATTTCTTTTTCTGAGTAAGAGTTTCAGATCCTTTCAAACCCATAGCATTGAGGTTTCTTCCCACAGTGGAAGAAAAGAGGAGGAAGTGTGACTTTTACACAGTACCGTGTGTTATTTTCTCACTACATTAATATTCAGCTACTATTTAATACAATGTTTAAAAATGTATGATCAGTGCAAATTTGAAAACATCATACATAATTACACTTATGGTGCACACATGCATTTTGTGGTCCAGCAATTACTTTTCTACTTGTGTTCATTGTTTTGTTATGATTTTAACTCATTGCAAGATTTGAATCAATTTAATCCGTTAGACTTAATACTTCTTGTGCTTGACCTCTGGCCTTTTAACCTCCACGCAGAACCACAGTGACAGTAAGGTGACCCTGTATGAGTGTGAGGATCTCCAGGGACGCAAGTTTGAGATATGCGATGACTACCCATCCCTTCAGGCCATGGGCTGGTGCAGTAAGGAGGTCCCCTCCATTAAAGTGAACTCTGGAGCGTAAGTAATCATGCCCCCCGTGGGGGACACATCTGTGCAAACATCTCTAAAATAAAATGTGGCCTATTGATGGACTAATTGCAGATAATGTTTACTTTAGTTTGTGGAACCACCTGACATTGGAAGTAGCCTGTTACATTTACTTAGTTACATTTACTATGTACTTAAGTACAGTTTTAATAGACGCTACATACCTATATAGCTGCTGGTGTAAACCGTACATAACAAGGAAGCTGACTAGGTATTGACACAGACCCAATGTTTCAGTAAGCTGTTTTTTTTTTTTTTTCAAACTCGGACTTAAATACCTCTCATCTCAAAGCTGTTTGGCTTTTCTGGGCTCTTAAGAAGCTTTAACTCTGGAGTTCATGGGTTGTTTGGTTAGTGCTTCATGTATGTATAAAGTGGATATAGCCTATTTGCAATTCACAGGTAATATTAGCACTTATAAGGGGGCATATTGGTGCATAGTTTGATTAAAACCTTGTATAGAACAGCATATGCTTGTAATTATCCAAGTATCCCTCTGTATTTAGTGATATCATAAACAAATAGCACATCATACACAAGCAGCACCTCAAAAGGCTGCCTAAAAAGCTTTAAACACACTATTACTTCTTTTTCTGTGGAGCTGCTATGTTGAAGTAACATCACTGAAGTGCGACTGGAATTCCACAGGGTGTGAATTATGAGTTGGATGGTTGCTCAAATGGATTTTTACTATTTGGAAGTTCTCACTTGGTCATGAACACAGCGCTAGATTCTGTTTCTGTATACTTATATCAGCAGCCATTGTAGGTAGTAGCAACTGAGAAGGTGGCAAGGCTCTTCAAGGATTTTTTTTGGTAAAGGGAATGGTTCTATTTAGAACCATGAGTTCTATACACACACACACACGCATTTTGTAAGCTGCTTATCCTTCTGGGTCGCAGTGAGTTCTATATAAGTCAATTTAATGAGTAAAGGGTTCTTTGCATGGTGTAATAGTTCTTCAGACTGATGGAGAATGGGTTGTATATGGTTCTATATAGAACCTTTTAGAAAATGGTTCTAAACAGTACTAAAAAGGCCTCTTTTATTGTTACACATTTAACATGGTGATAATAGCTGATACCTTTTTGGTGCTATATGGAACCATCTACAACACATTCTCCATGAATCTGAAGAAACCTTTCACGAAGCAAAGAACTCTTAAATCATGCAAAGGGTTCTTCGGGTGTTCTTCAGTAAAGAACCCTTGAAGAACTGTCTTTTCAAAAGTATAGCGTACTAGGTATTATGAAAAATCCAGTATTTCAAAAAGCTCCTACTGTGCTTCATTTGGACTGTTCTTTTTCTGGATATTCGTAAGACAAGTACAAACGTTTAAATGTTGGTGCTGCAGCATGTTTAGTCAGTGTGTTCCAGGCTTTAGGTTCCTTTGAGGATAATATGGTGCCCATCTTTAGACCTCTGAAGTCACAATGCTGTCATTCTGTTGTGAGGCCCATTTTAGGAGCTACAGGTCTCAGCTGGTTTTCTCTATGAGAAAAACTGCTATCGCAAACAAATCCAAATCTCATATGTTATGCCATATGTACATTTTTCCTTCTAAATCACTGGATCCTCTGAATCACATGGTTGTTAAAGAGTCCAAATATGAACATTACTACATGCAAGCTTACACTGCTGTGCACTGAAGTGACATCAAAAGACTGGCAACCTCACCAAAATACACTATACAACCAACCGGGCTTTGTCAAATGTGGTAATTAGGTCATTTTGTCAGTTGTAGCCTACAGTTTGAGCAGATGCTGTTGGTATATAATAGTGTTGAAGTAGAAGACTTACTTTAATGCGATGTCATTTCAGTGTGCAGGATTGTTAGCTTGCTTGCGGCATTTTGTAGTTGGCGTTGTGCCCATATTGGCAACCCCAGGTCTAAGCTGAATTTCTCTTTGACAAAAAATAAATTAGATTTTTCAAAAATTGCCACTAACACACCCTAACACCCCTAACACAGATTCCAGACCTGTTATGTTTTGTCTTACGTTCGTTTTTCACTGAACGCCACTGGATCCTCTGAATTTTGAGGTTATTAAGGAGTTGAAATATGAACATTGCTACAACAGAGCTACCATTTCTGCGCACTGAAATGATGCTGCATGAAAGTAAATCTTGTATTAAACGTCAACATTCTCATATACTAACACCAGGTACTCCTAATGTACTTTACTCCTGCCAAAGCAACGTCCACTTTTGACAAAGCTTGCTTTGTTTGGGGTATTTTTGTGAGCTTGGCTGTCTCATATGCAAATTCAGTGCACAGCAGCTTTAGCTTGCATGTACCAAAATTCATAGTCTGGTTCCTTTACCACCTCGTTCACTTGCGGACTACCCAGAAATTGTCCTGCATTCGAATTCTAACTGGTTGTTGATCTAATAAGGATTTTAAATGCACATTATGTCTTTTATTTTGGAAAATAAACACATATCACATACTATTGAAAGAAAAACTAGATAAATAGATTTTCTTGATAACGTTGTTGCTGACACTGTGCTAGATTAGTTACAGCCATATAACTGGCTTTATTTATGATATTGCAGTTGAAATTATTTACTAAACTAATGTACAAAGGGTAATGAAAGAAAGAAATTCAGGAAAAATGAGTGGAAAAAGAGTGATTGAAAGTGGCATGTTGTTTAATACTCGGTTTAACCACTAGGGGGCAGCCTGGAAAATGAGCAAGAAGCCAGCGGGTCGCCCGCTTTGCCATCAGTGGGCAGCAGTGGCCCACTGTCCTCTCGCTATTCAGGGTAGTTCATAGAGTTTGGAACCATTTTGTTAACCACAGGACGCTGTAGCGGTGATTTCCCATTCATCCCATTCATTTTCGGAGAAGGCCATCTTAGAACCGGCGTTTCTAATATGGGCATAACACCGACTCGAGAGGCCTGGTAACAGTACCCTGTATAGCTAGGCATTAGGGAGCGAGGCGCTGTTGAGACCCCTGAATGAGTCCTCTGTTTCCTTCTCCCTCCCTTCTACAGGTGGGTGGGCTACCAGTTCCCCGGTTACCGTGGATACCAGTACATCTTCGAGAGAGACAGGCGTCAGGGCGAGTACAAAAACTATAACGACTTCGGCACCCAGGCGCACACCAATCAGATCCAGTCCATCCGCCGCGTGCAGCACTAAGCTCTCTCCACATTGGCTACTCCGTACCTACCCTAGCGTGACGAGACATCTGACAAAGTCGGCGATAAACCCTCATTCAAACTCCAGAAAAGAGTAATGAACACAGAGTTTCTGCTTGTCGCCATTCTACTGCTCAATAAAAGTCTGTGTCAGGAAAAATGAACGTTCACAGCGCAGTCTGGGGCGTCTTTCTTTCTTTCTTTCTTTCTTTCTTTCTTTTTCATGCCTCACGGCTTGTTCGAGCTTATTACTTGAACTCAATGAAAACCAGCAGCAATGTGAAGACTGAGGTCAGTTACAGGCCGTCTCCTTTGTATGGAAAAAAGAGCACTTTGTAAAGAGAGGTCATAATTTTTAGATTCGGTCAGATTTTTATTTTCTTAACGTTAGAGCAGTGTAATATTGTTCTTGTCAGACTGTATTTTTTTTTTTTCAATAAACAAGAGCACGAGACGGTGTTTTCTGCTGTTTGTTCTTGCCGTGTCACCATTTCTGATACACTTTCTGCTCAGAAACGTTTCAGTTCAAATGGTGCTTTCATACACTAGCAAATTTATCTTCTGAAGAAATTTTCCCTGAACATTACTTACTTCATAGTCCATGAGTACATACCTACTTTATTCATTCTAAAATCTGATTTTTAAGAGCCAGCACAAAGTTAGGCCTAATTTTTCAATCTGCTTTGCTTAGGTCTGAAAGTTCATGAATGTGAATTAGCATTATGTGGAATTTTAAAGGGGCATTCTGGCCTAAAACTAGAATTTGATGTGTTACCTCTTTGTTAGGATGTTATAGTGTGAGAGAGAAATGTTTTTGAAATGTTGGTTCGGGTTATTGGTTCTTCAGCAGTTATTTACAGGGTATTCTGATAAGGACTCTTATTTTAAAGGTGGGGCTAATTTCCTGGGGGGGGGGTATGTATGTAGAGCAGGAAGAACTGAGAGTCAGACAAGAGCTGATGTCTGAAACAATAAGCGTAGCTAAGGCTTAGAGCAAACTGTTAAGAGAAAACCTTGCTTATGTATGCTGTAGCTGTGGCCAACAACAGCTGGTTAATAAAGCACCATGACTTAATGGTGTAATAACAGTGAATGCTGAAGTATATTCTATAGTGCAGCATTATATCCCATCAATGTTCTCCCACTACAATACCCAGCGTGCATTACCCTGCTACAACACTGGGAATTGGGAACTTTTCATTTTCAGCCATTTAGGTCCATTGACCTCCATTAATTTAGGACTCGCTGGCGCCCCCTGGTGTTTTGCAGTCATGCTTTTGATATAACAGGATAAACAGGAAGATAAAGAAATCCACTGATGTGGCTCAGAAATACAAATGTGATATTTAGCTTCCTAGCAGTACGTTAGCTATCTGGCCTCCTGCTACATTTGCAAGCTAGTGGAAAAACCCAAACATTTGAAACAGCCCATTTTCATGCTTGTAATTTTTCAAAACTTCCTCCCAACTTTTAGATACATCATCAAAAGTGTGTCTTCTGAGTCTTTGAACCTTAGTGGCGCCGCTGTATGAAGCGGCAAGGCGTGTTTGGAACAGATGAAGCCATGGCTTTATTTTTCATTTTTGCCAGAGTGCCCCTTTACGTTTAGTCATAAGATGGTGTAGATCAATTTGAGAGACAGAGTCCAGGCAGAGTCCAGCTTAAGTCCTGGGATTTCCTTGCTTAAAGGGGAAATATGATTAAAAAAACCTCACTTTTTCAGTGCTTGTGCTCTTACATTGGGGTATCCAGAGTGCCACCCACAAACCGTGAAATAAGACAACCCAGTGAGTTTATTTGTGGACTGACTAGGTCAGAAAACATGGGATTCAACAAGCCATTCAGATTCCGCTCGCTAAGTTCCTCAAAACATTGACAGTGTTAGTCAGTGCCTGTCCCTCAGAAATGGCTCTAAACTGCCCTCTGCTGGCTTAAACTGCAAGCATGTAGAAAAGTTTCTGTTTTTAATCTGAGATAAGGCGTGAGATATTCTGTTTGCACGAATTAAACATTGCAGTGCATGACAGTAAAATAATAGTTGAGGGTCAACATGGTAAGAGTTTAGGGCTTTACATGAAACTTAGATTCATATCAAATCAGTGTAACTTGGGTCTGCTTACAGCTTTCTGCCACAAGGTGTCGCCAAAGATCAATGCGACTACGTGAGTGACACTCCAAGAGGAAAACAACAGCCTGGCTCATAACTTAGTGAACCTCATTTTGAAATCATGCTAATAAAACATGATATACCAGTGCCTGAGAGAGAGAGAGAGAGAGAGAGAGAGAGAGAGAGAGAGAGAGAGAGAGAGAGAGAGAGAGAGAGAGAGAGAGAGAGAGAGAGAGAGAGAGAGACTTGTGCCTATGTCAATAGGTCAGCCAGGTGATCTCAGCTCCCCGTTTTTGACTGAACACCTACAGTGTTGTATCAATGCATTGACAACTAAAGTGTTAATAGTCAGTGGGGTCCAAAAGTCTGAGACCACTAGTGAAAATGCTTCTATTTTGCATTATTTTATTTTTATTACAAATTATAAACCCAATTCCTGGAATGTTGGGACAGTAGTTAAATGCAAATAAAAACAGAAGGCAGTAGTTTATTAATCTACTGAAATGAAATCAATACAAAGACAAGGTATGAAATGTTTTAACTTATTTGTTTTTTGTAAATATACGTTCATTATTAAATTGATGCCTGCAACATATTACAAAAAGGGACATGAGCAGTTTAAGACTAGGAACTTTGTAAAATGTTCAAAAACATGTTAAACAGGTGATGCAGTTACGCTTGGATATAAAAGAAGCATTCAGGAAAGGCCTTGTCCTTTGTGAGCAAAAAATGGGTTGAGGCTTGCAGTTTTGGCAAAAATGCATCAGTAAGAAGTCCAACTGTTTAAAAATAATATTCCTCAACCAGAGATTGCAAGGATTTTAGGTATTTTACCCTCTGCAGTGCATAATATTATTAAAAGATCCAGGGAATTTGGAGAAATATCTGTATAAACAACAAAGCCTAAAACCACTACTGAATGCCCATGACCTTCAACCCCTCAGATGGCCCTGTGTTACAAACTGGTATTTTCTGTGATGGACATCACCACATAGAATACATAAAAAATGTTGTCAATAGACATCGCCCATCTACAAATGCAAGTTAGGACTGTACAATGCACAGTGGAAACCATTCAACAGCAATTCAGAAACGCCGCCGACTTCTCTGGGCTTGAGCTCATCTGAATCAGCTAGTGCACAATCAAAATGTCTTTTGTGGTCTGACGTGTCAACCTTTTAGATTGTTTATGGAAACAATGGACGTCATTTTCTCTGTGCCAAAGAACCAAAGTTCAAAAGCCAGGGTCTGTTATGGTATAAGCTGGTTTTGGTGGGTCAGTTGTGCATCTGTAAAGGTAACATTAATGCTAAATACATTTTGGAGCAACCTATGCTGCCTTTTAGGCACCATCTTTTTCAGAGATACCGACGCTTATTTCAACATGACATCACAAAGCCACATTCTGCATTTGTAACAACAGCATGGCTGTGTAATTAGAGAGTGCGGGTGGAGTCTAGACCCATCTCCCTGTGAAAACGTGTCGCATTATTTTCAAAATTCTTTAAAAAGCTCAAACTACAACAACAAAGGACTTGTATGGTTGCACAGCTGAAAACGTAAATCCACTTTCAAAACTGGATCAGTTTGTGTCTTCAGTCCTCAAACGATTATTAAGTGTTGTTAAAAGGAAAGGTGATGTAACAAACTTGTGCCTGTCCCACTTTTATTTGGAATGTGTTGCATCTTATTTGGAATAAGCATATTTACAAAATGAAATTCCTTTGGTAAAACATAAAATATTGTGTTTTAGTACTGTTTTCAATTTAATTCAGGCCAGACAGATTTTTACTGATAACTGCTTTCTGTTTTATTAGCATTTCACACACTGTCCTAACTTTTTGAATCAGGTTTGTGTATTATTAGCATAAAAATTAAAGTGAAAAATATAATCTTTAGAATTTTAACTTTTTGTACAAAGGCCTTAACATGGGCACTGTTATCAAGTTCAGTTTTATTTGAATTGTGACCTAGAAATTGCACAGAATGTTTAATATTTCTTATTGATTTTTTTTTAAAACTTTGTTTTAATTTAGACCAAAATTCTAAAACTTTCTGTTATTTATTTCCAGATGTAAATAAAAAACATCCCAGATTTTCAAGGTGGTCTCAGACTTTTGGACCCCACTGTAAGTCTACCTAATCACAAATATACACTCATAGACTGTAAAGTCACACTATGAATTTTGTCTTGTGGTTTATTGTAATATATATATACTGCATGTATATATTATCACAACAAACCTAACATTAACTTCAACCTGTAAACTTACAGAAGAAGGAAAAAACTCTTAACTTTGAATGGAAGTTAATGCATAGAATAGAATAGAATTACAGAAGTATTTTTGAAGTACTTCAATTTCTTCATTCATCATGAAGTGTAAACACATTGAAAAAGGCAGGTGGCAAATTATATAAAACAATTTAAAGGACGAAAATGGACATTTGTTGTGACAGCAAAAATAAGTGCTTTGCTCAGTATGAGAAAAGCCCTCTGAGCTGTGGTTGTGAATGAACATGAGGCTCTACAGCAAAGCCATTAATACATCCGCTCACCCTGCTGTAGAGATACAGCTAATTATACCAGCTATTACACAAGCCCATTCAACAGGAGCGGCTTAATCAAGCATAAACAAACAAACAAGATGATTGCCACCTCCTTTATGACGAAGTCTACTTTTTTTTGGGTTGTTTTTCCTTTAGTTGTTCCTGTACTTTCTCTCTGAGGCTCAGAGTGTCTCCATGTTCTGTTCTGTTCCTTTTTTTGTCACTGTGTTCTGAGCCAGACGTCTCCCCCCCTTCCCCTTTTTCTTGTCCTCCTCCTTTCCTGCTGCCAGCATCTCACTATTTCTCAGTCTCCTGCTAGTGCCACCGCTTGCTGCCATGGCAACACG